GGCAGGGTTGGGAAAATTATCCTCATTGCAATTCTTATCGACCTTTGTTGTGGGAGACAGCCAAGAAATAAAATATGGGACACTAAATGAACTGAAGGACTTAAACCTAATAAGAGGCAAATTAGAAATTAAGTGTCTCAATCGTGTGAGAGACGTGGCTCTGGAATCACAGAATGTAAATTTAAAAGAAAAAAAATTCCTTCAATCCTTGACTCTGAATTGGTCCCTATTTGGAGACCTCTTTAACAGTGACAGCTTGCAATTATTGGAAAACCTTGAGCCCCACCTTAATCTTAAGCAATTGGAGGTGAATTATTATCCAGGCGTGCTTCTCCCAAATTGGCTTTCTCTTCTCACAAATGTTGTTGACATCACTCTCTGGGGGTTTGATAACTGTCGCTGTCTCCCTCCGTTGAAACGTCTCCCGTCCCTGAAGTCACTTGCGATACACACTCTCAACGAATTAGAATACATAGATCTCTACGAAGATGGTTTTGCAGTGACCTTCTTCCCCTCTTTGGAGAGCCTCATATTAGATAATTGTCCGAAACTCAGGGGATGGCGGAGGCGGGGAGATGATATCAATGATTCACATAATCTCTCCTTACCTCTTTCATTTCCGCATCTTTCTCAACTATTTGTCTCTAAATGTCCACAGTTGACTTGCATGCCTACTTTTCCAAACGTTAAGGATTTAAACTGGTGTCATAGCAATGCGGAGCCATTAACAGGAACATTAAACTCAACATGTTCAGCTGACTCATCTTCCTCCGCTGCTCCTCTTTCAGTGCTCAAAGAATTGCAGATTTCTGATCCTATGAATTTACCAAAGGGTTGGATGCAAAATCTGACTTCTCTCGAGTCTCTTAAAATTCAATCACGTGAAAGTGAAACACTTGAGGAATTTGAAATGGGGTTTAAGGACGACACCGACTGCCTTCCTTGTCTGCGAAAAATCGGCATATGGGAGTGTGAAAGGCTAAAGGCTTTGCCAGATTGGATTTGCAACCTCTCAGCGCTGCAGCACATCATGATCTACGGTTGCCCAAAATTGGCATCGCTGCCCAAAGGAATGCGTGGTCTTACCAACTTAAAGATGTTTGAAGTGAGGAAATGTTCCCTCTTACTTGAAGAATGCCGAACAGAGACAAGTGCTGTTAGTCGCCAAATCGCACACATTCCACAAAAAATCCTTCGTGATTAGTGATGATAAAGGTACTGATCTGATTCTGATGCGTATTTATTTAGTGTAAACGTCGTGTTCATTTGTTTCAAACATAAATACAAATTATCCTAATCATCTTAATTTTCAATTGTTAAACATTATCCGAGTCTTAATATATGTAATGCCAATAAGTTTTTTTTTTTCTTTGCCCCGATATTATTACAAAAATAAAATTTTTAAATAAAAATTCAAATATTCAATAAATTTTATAAATAAATAATTTATTATATTAATAAGATTAAATTAAAGAAAGATAATTATAAAATTTTTATTAGAAATTCATTTAAAAAATTAAAATTATTTTATAATTAATAAAATTTATAAATGTTCATATATAAATATTTATTTTTAATAATAATATTCTATTATATTAAATAAGATTAAATAAAAAATAAATTTTGAAAATTAAAAAATATTTAATATAAAATTTAACTTAAGACTGAATTAAAAAAAATTAAATGTTAAATGCATAAAAAGTCATGTGAAAGATAACTAATCTCTAAAAACCTTCTTATTTAAAAATTAAGATCCAAATTATAAATGTATTTACATGCGTAGAGAATTGATTATTGATGTAAAACAAATATATTGGGTTCCTTCTACTTCGTAAATATAAAATATAAATTGATGTTCTGTATAGTTTCAATTTCTTTATACTTTTTACAAGTTTTTTAGATATACATTCTTAATTTTGAATTGAGGTTAAATTTTCAATTTAGTTTTATCACGGGAATATTCATTGTTTTAATATTTACAAGTGAAAATGGAAAAGAGAAGAAAAAAAAATTTTAGATATTAAAAGCTTTATAAAAATTGTTAGATTTTCGTAATGTTGGTAACTACTTATAAAAAATGCTCATGGAACATCTAACAATTATTTAGAAATTAATTGCAGAGGAAATGGTGGTGCTGACTAAAGCATGTGAGAAACTAAGTGCTTTATTCACAGGTGGATGCATAGGCTCATCTGGGAACTAACAATGTGATTATCTTTGCAGAAGGAGAGAAAATTTATTCATTGGCTGCTGCAAAAATCAGAAGTTTATTATAATCTAAGTCTTCTAATTTTTATATAATTTAGAAAATAGTTGATATTTTATTGACTCACTTTATTTAATACATAATATATCATTTAAATATAAATACAAAGGTATTATTTGGTAGTACTTCATCATTTAAGATAACATTACTACAAAGGTTGGGAAAGCTTCAAAAACAAAAAATTTAAATGAATATAGAGATTTAAGAGTAAAAGACAAAGAATTATGGTGGTTAAATGAAAGTGTGCAAGAGGAGATTAGAGAAAAGAGAATATGTTCTAAAATTTTGCATACATGTAATAATGCTAAAAATTAGGCAAGGCATCAAAAGACAAAAAATGAGATAAGAAAAGCAATGAGTGGTGATTTTAAGACTGTTGAAGGATTTTATTAAGATCTTGAAACAAAGTATGGTGAAAGGATGATTTATAAATTTGTCAAAAGTAGAGAAATAAAATTTAGAGATTTAGATCAAGTTAGATGTATTAGGATGAAGAAGGAAACATTTTGTTTTGGATCAAGACATCAAAGATTAATGAGAGAAATATTTCTATCAACCTTTTAATGAGGGACTAGGAGCAAATAAAAAATTAGTAGAATTAGAAGTGCAAACGAATGACCTAAATTTGACATATTATGGTAGGATTTGAGTTGGAGAACTAAAATAAGCTCTTAAGAGAATGAAGAATGGTAAAGAATTAGTCCTAATAATATTCATATAGAGGTTTGAAAAAGTTTAGAAAATCAAGGATCATATTGACTTACTAAACTCTCTAATGAGATTTTAAGATCTAAGAGTATGTTAGATGAATGGAGGAAGAACATTATGATTCCTATATAGAAGAACATGAATGATATTCAAGAAGGATTGAACTCATAAGTCACTTTATGAAGTTTTAGAAAAAGCTGATTGAACATAGAATACGAGAGAAAATTGATATTGCAGAAAATCAATTTAGTTTTATGTCAGGAAGATTTACAATAGAAAAATTATGAAAAAAATATCGTTACAAAGAAAAAGACTTAAACATGAATTTTCTTGACTTGGAAAACACATATGATCGAATTCTAAGAAAATTGTTATAGAAAACTGTAGAAAAACAAAAAGAAGAAAGAGTATATATAGCATATATTTATGCTATACAAGACAGTATAAGAAGGTACCTACATATGTGAGAACTTCTTGAAGTGTATCTAAGGATTTCCCAATTAGAATAGACTCATACCAAAGTTTTGCTTTGAATCCTTATTTGTTTAATCCAGTCTTAAATGTGTTTACAAATGACATACAAAAGATTCTCTCTTAGTACATGCTATTTGCTGATGATATAGTCTTGATTGAGGATTGAAAAGAAGATATTAATGCTAAACTTGAATTATGGAGTGAGACTTTTAAATCTAAGGATTTTTGCTTAAGTAGGAGTAAGATTGAATCTATGCATTATAGATTTAGTAAAAAATAAGATGAGAATCATACATTGAGAGTTGAAATTAGAGATAATATTATACTACAAATTTTCAATTTCAAGTATATGGAATCAATTATACAAAATAATAGAGAAATTAATGAATATATTACTCACAAAATACAAGTTGAATGGTTAAAGAAGACATCAGAAGTTAGTTGCGATTGTAAAATACCTATCAAATTGAAACGAAAATTTTAATGTACTTCAATATGACTAGTTATCTTATATGACAGTGAACGTTGGGCATTAAAAAAATAACACAACAAAAATGTGAGACTAACAAAAATGAGAATGCTAAAATGGATGAGTGGGAGAGAAAGCACATGATACAAAATGATAATATACGAAAAAAAATATTAAAATAACAAGTAAAAACAATGACTGAGAATCATCTAAAGTTATGTGGTCATGTGTGAAAAAGACCTTGAAAAATGTCAGTAAGAGGAGTGAATTGCATAATTCTTAATTTAGTATAAAACGGTAAAAAAAATTTAAAAGAATTTTATATGAAATTATTAAAAATGATATTTTTATTAACTAAATTTTTAAAAATTTAGTTTTTGATGGAACTTAATATTATCTGTTATACATGTAGTCAATTTCACTTAGTGAGATAAGGCTATTATTTTATTTGAAAAGTGTGAGTTGCCTTTCACCTTAAAGTGAAATTTTTAGTTTTAATGGACACTAGACTTTTGTATTTGATTTCATTCTGATTTTGCTATTGATATTTTAATTGGTTGTCACTCTTGTCAAATTTTTTTGTTAAGTCATCATATTTTCTCAATATTAAGTGTGAGAGATAAGATAAACAATGTAATAAATAAATAAATAATCAGTATTGTAAAAATGTTATTTGTAAAAATATATTGTATGATAATATTTTATGAATAAAATAACTCTTTCATTGAATAACTAATTGAAAAATGAGATCTTGTTTCGGCATATGAAAAAGTCAATGAAATAACATTTTGATGTTGTCAGTGAAGGACGAACATAATATATAAAAGCTTGAACGGTCCTGTAATTACTGCTAACCTGTTTTATATTTCTAGCTATCATGGCGGGACACTAAAAGAAATTGAGAGAAAATTTGACTCTGAAAAAAGATAGTTTGATTGACTTAACTAATTACAAAAATGGCCCTGTGACGACGACTACACAGCAAAAAAAGCAGAACGACAAGTCACAATAATTAATCCTTTATTGCATATTTATAATATTAGATCGAAGATAAGAGGCGGAGCAAGCATTGACCGTTCAGACATAGAAAAGATGGTTTGAGTGAGATAGCTAATTACAAGTGTGTCCCTGTGATGGGCAGATATAAGAGCAAATAGTGTTTATGGTGCAGCCATTGCCAATCTCAAACTGAACAGAGTGAGATCTCTTCGCTTCTTCATCAGATCTAAGGGATATGGAAAACGTTCCATTTGCTGTTGCGTCTAATCTCATTCACAGGTTCCTTTTTCCACCCTTTCTTGCACAACATGCTTAGCTTACGGTTTATGTTTTTTTTCGTTATAGTTTTGACTGGTTCTTATTTCGCTTTAATCTCTTTCACCCTTTTATTATTTCTTTTCGTAAAGGTTATATCTTTTTATTTTCTTTGAATATTTGTTTATAATGCTTGGTATTTAAAGTTTATTTACTAATATTATTTTATAAAATTTTAATTTACATCAGTCAAGTAATTAAAATGTTGTAAATATTTACATTTTTTTTTTGTTTATAAGTTTATATGCATGCTATCCAATCTTGTTATCATGCTGAAATCTCAAAAATCAATATCTTAACTTAATCAAGATATTTAAAATAAAAATCAAATTTTATAATTTTTAATTTATATTTTTATATGTTTAGTATTAATGGTGAAAAAAATATTTATTCCAATTAAGGTTGATTATATAATATAAAATAAATGTATAGAAGACAAAAATTACACCTTTTAAAGATGAATCACACATTATACATTTTTGTTATACTTTCATTAAATTTAAATAAAAAAGTCCGTTCTATTGAAACTATAAATTTGTTTATCCCTTTCGCATTGTTAAAATTTAATCAAATATTCTTTTAAAAATATTTTTATTATAAATTAATATTTTGAAAATCATTAATTAAAATATATGCTTAATAAATATAATTTATTATATTAAATCCAAATAATCCAGCACATATTATAGATAAACTAGTAGAATATATAATTTTTATGTCTAACAATTTAATAAGTGTGTCATGATAAAAAAATTTAAAATTTACTTTAAAATTAATTAAATTTAAAAAATAATATTTTAACTTAATGAAAAGATAAATATAACAAAATTAATATAAAAGACGCTAAACAAGTAAATATTAAAAAAATTTCAAAGTACTCTTTTATTCGAGAATGAACACAGACTGGTGTACACAAGAGAGTTCAAATGATACGGAGTTACAGTAAATTACTTTCTATAGTAATTTTATGAGATCAACATTAATAAGAAATAATTTTGTTACAAGACCCAAACGCATAACAAAAAAGTAATGTTAATCATTGAATACAAGTGTTTTTGTTAGTTTGAAGGTTTTTTTAAAGTTTGTTATTTCATTTAGATGGAAGATCAAAGACCTGGTTCTGAGGCTATTTATGCATGGTTCTTTATGATGAGAAAAGAGAAGAAATCTGAAGTTATTATTTTAGGATTCCTAGTCTCCTTTAGTTTTCTTTGGTAGGTAACCTAGCCCCCATATTAATGTTACGTTGGAAAAATGTTCCTAAAATTATATACTACGTCCTATTCTATTAGGGGATTACATTAATAATAATATTTTAAAAAAATATCTTAAACAGGAAGATTTGGAGTGATAATTGATATTTTTTTCCTCTTTTGTACTATAATTATAAAAAATAAATATCTACTTTTAGATGTGTCGTGCATATGGAAATTCTGATTGGTAAGGATTTGTAACTGAGCCGGCCATGAATAAATCATGATTCAATCAATTGAATTTGTAGATTATTATTACATATTTTCCCTTTTCCTCTATTCTTATGCCAATATTTTTAGACATTGCTCAACTTTCTCTCAACAAAGCACCCTTCTATGTAGTCTTTCTTAATCACTTTAACGATGGCTGATTCAGTTCCATTTGCTGTTACTTCAAATCTCAGGTTGGCTTCCGCAGATTTTCTTGAATTTGGAAAGCATTATGATGTGACGGAAGAGTTGGAAGATCTTAAGAACACTATTGAATCCATCAATGCTAAGCTCCTTGATGCCGACGATAAACAAGATCATGATGATGGTGTGCGAGTTTGGATCAGAAGGTTCAAAAAAGTACTCCATGCTGCAGATGACTCCTTAGATGAGCTTGCTATCCAATTCAGGAGAGACAAATTGGGTGCAGCAGAAGGAAAAGAAGTAGACAAGGTACTTCTTTCCATTTCATCTTCAAATCAACTTCCTTTATACACTGAAATGCCTGACAAAATTAAAGAAATACGAGAAAGTTTTAATGTAGTAGTAGAAGACATGGATAAATTGAATTTAAGCCCAGGTTCTCTGGTTAAGCAAACTAGCAGTGAATGGAGGGAAACATGTTCTTTTGTGCTAGAATCTGATATCATTGGAAGAGATGATAGTAAAAAGGAGATTATTACTCTGTTGAGACAACCTCATGAAAACCGAAAAGTTTCTGTGATTGCTATTGTTGGCCTCGGTGGCTTGGGGAAGACAACGCTTGCTCAGTTGGTGTATAATGACTTGGAAGTGCAGAATTTTTTTGACAAGAAAATGTGGGTGTGTGTCTCTGATAACTTTGATGTGAAAACTATTCTGAAGAAAATATTAGAATCAGTTACTCGTCGCCCGACAGCAGATGGGTTGTCATTAGACTACTTGCAAGAAGAACTTCGTGAAAATTTAAGTGGTAAGAAATATTTGTTGGTCCTGGATGACATTTGGAATGAGAGACGCGACAAATGGATTGAACTGAGAAAGTACTTGATGTGTGGCGCTAAAGATAGTAAGATTTTAGTGACAACTCGAAGTGAAAATGTAGCTGAGGCAATGACAGCTAGCACTTCCTATCCTTTGAAAGGTTTTGCTGATGAGGCATCTTGGAGTTTGTTGAAGAACATTGCATTTGAGGATGATTTCAAAGGAGTGAATCAAAATCTAGAATCAATGGGGAAAGAAATAGCCAAAAAATGTAAAGGCGTTCCACTGGCAGTTAAAACCCTGGGAGGCCTGTTACGAAGACAAAACGAAGAAAGTGAGTGGGAGAATGTTTTACATGGCGACTTCTGGAAATTATGTGAAGAGCAAGATAGTATCATGCCAATTCTAAAACTCAGTTACCGTAACTTATTGCCAGAAATGAGACAATGTTTTGCTTACTGCTCTTTATACCCCAAGGATTCAAAAATACCAAAAGATGAGTTGATTCAGTTATGGATGGCACAGGGTTACCTTAAATGTTCAACTGAGAAACAGCAGATGGAGGATCTCGGTAATCAAATTGTAAAGATATTTTTGATGAACTCATTTTTTCAAGATGCGGACAGTGAATACGGTGAGATCATTAGCTTCAAAATGCACGATTTAATGCATGATCTGTCAATGCTAGTAGCTGGCGATGATTATTGTTACTTGGATGGTAAGGCAGAAAAAGTTAAAGGTAGACTCATGCACGTATCATTGGAATCTGGTCAGGCCATTAATTTGTTGAAATCATTAGATCCGAGCAGACTGCGAACTTTGATTTTGCCGGATGACTTGGAAGAGGAGGAAGATTTGTCGGTTATTTCAAAGTTCAAATACTTACGTGTCTTGAGGATGTCATCTTTTTCCTACAGATTGTTTGATTCACTTGGAAAATTGAAGCATTTAAGATATCTTGACTTCCATTATCATTACTCCTTGAGTGGGATGCCAGTTGGGTTGGGAAAGTTGTGCTGGTTGCAATTCTTATCAATCTTTGCTGTGGGAGACAGCCAAGAAACAAAATGTGGCACATTAAATGAATTGAAAGACTTAAACCTGAGAGGAAAATTAACAATTCAGGATCTCGTTCGTGTCAGAGACGTGGCTCTGGAATCACATGATGTAAATTTAAAAGAAAAAAGGTTCCTTCAATCCTTGGTTTTGGTTTGGTCGCATGAAGACAGCCGTAACAGTGACAGTTTAAAATTATTAGAAAACCTTGAGCCCCACCGTAATCTTAAGCGATTGGTGGTGTGTGGTTATCCAGGCATGCGTTTCCCAGATTGGCTTTCTCTTCTCACAAATGTTGTTGAAATTAGTCTCTTTTATCTTCGTAATTGTGGCTTTCTCCCACCGTTGGAACGTCTCCCGTCCCTGAAGTCACTTCAGATGGACTCTCTTGATGAATTGGAATACATATATCTCTACGAAGATGGTTTTGCAATAACCTTCTTCCCCTCTTTGGAGAGCCTCATGTTAGAAGATTGTCCCAAGTTCAGGGGATGGCGGAGGCGGGGAGATGATATCAATGATTCACATAATCTCTCTTCATCTCTTTCATTTCCTCAACTTTCTCATCTGCAACTCTATCTCTGTCCACAGTTGACTTGCATGCCTACTTTTCCAAACGTTAAGAAATTAGAATGGTGCGGTAGCAGTGCGGAGCCATTAACAGCAACGCTAAACTCAACATGTTCAGCTGACTCATCTTCCTCCTCTGCTCCTCTTTCCATGCTCAGAGAGTTAGAGTTGATGATTTCTGATCCTATGAATTTACCAAAGGGTTGGATGCAAAATCTGACTTCTCTCGAGTCTCTTCAAATTATACGGTGTGAAAGTGAAACACTTGAGGAATTTGAAACTGGGTTTAAGGACGGCACCAACTGCCTTCCTTCTCTGCGAAAAATCACAGTAGATGAGTGTGGAAGGCTGAAGGCTTTGCCAAATTGGATTTGCAACCTCTCATCGCTTCAGCACATCATGATCTTCTATTGCCCAAAATTGGCATCGTTGCCCGAAGGAATGAGTGGTCTTACCAACTTAAAGATCTTTGAGGTCAGGGGATGTTCCCTCTTAATTAAAGAATGCCGAACAGAGACAAGTGTTGTTAGTCGCCAAATCGCACACATTCCACAGATAATCCTTGATTAGTGATGATAAAGATACTGATCTGATTCTTATGCGTATTTATTTAGTGTAAACGTTGTATTGTATTTGCTTTGCTATTAAAATACTTTGAGTTAGTGTTCATTCTTTCAAACATAAATACAAATTATCCTAATCATATTAATTTTCAATTGTTAAACATTATCCAACTCTTAATATATGTAATGCCAATAAGTTTTTTTTTTCTTTGCACCGATATTATTACAAAAATAAAATTTTTAAATAAAAATTCAAATATTATATAATTCAATAAATTTTATAAATAAATATTTTATTATATTAATAATATAAAATTAAAGAAAGATAATTATAAATTTTGTATTAGAAATTCATTTAAAAAATTAAAATTGTTTTATAATGAATAAAATTTATAAATATTAATATATAAATATTTATTTTTAATAACAATATTCTATTATATTAAATAAGATTAAATTAAAAAAATTTGAAAATTAAAAACTAATTAGAAATATTTAATATAAAATTTAAATTAAGACTGAATAAAAAAAATTAAATATTAAATGCGTAAAAAAGTCATGTAACATAATAATAATAAAGATAATTAATACCTAAAAACCTTCTCATTTAAACATTAGGTCTCAAATTATAAAAGTATTTATATGCATAAGAAATTGATTATTATTGTAAAATAAATATACACTAATTTGAGTCTCTTCAACTTTATAAATGTAAAATATAAATTGATGTTTTGTATAGTTTTAATCTCTCTTTACTTTTTATAAGATTTTTAAAGTATGTTTTGCATATACTAATTTGTATAATTAGATCTTTATTTTTTTTATAATTAAGTAATTATAAAAAAAATACATATAATATAGTTTCTAAATTTTGTCCATAATAATACTTTCACGTTGGACCAATTTTATTAACCTTTATTTGAGTGTTTTGTTTCTATGCCATGAACTTCATCTTTTGCACTCAACCCAAAGTCAATGTTCTTCTTGCCTTAATTTCAAATATAAAGTATGGGTTGAGTTCAGTCATCATATTCATATTTCAAAATACTTTTTTTTTTTTTTATCAAACGCATCTTCTGATTTTTTTTTTTTGCCATAAATTTTCAATTAGAAAAAAAAATTGTGTTTGGGATAGAATTAATTTTAAAACAAATGATATTCAAAGATCAATATTTTGAAAAATAAAATAGATTAAGGCCCAGTTTTGGTAAATTTTTAAATAAGTTTTTACATAAGAAAAAATTAGTATAAAAATGAATAATTTTTTTATAAATAAAAACTAACTTATATTTGTTTATTTTTTTATAAGTTCTCTTATTTAATTTCTCTAAAATTTGAGAAAATAAGAGCTAAATAATGAAAGAAAATTTATTCATTATTATACTAATATTTTTCTCTTATAAAAATTTTTCTAAAAATTTACTGAAATCGAATCTAAGTCTACTAATTTTTATATAATTTAAAAAAATAGTTGATATTTTGTTGGTTCACTTTATTTTAACATATAAGATTTTATTTAAAATGTAAATATAAAGGTATTATTAGGTTGTATTATCATCATTTAAGACAATATTATTACGAAGGTTAGAAAAGTTGTCAAAAAATTTTTAAATGAATCTAAAAGTTTTGAACTAAATGACAAATAATAGAGATTAGAGAAAAGAGAATGTAGTTTAAAAGTTTTCATAAATGTAATTGACAAGGTGTCTAAAGGTAAGAAATGAAACAAGAAAAATATTGAGTGACGTTCTAAGATTGTTAAAGGGTTTTATCAAAATCTTGAAATAAAGAATGGTGAAAGGAGGATTTATAAACTTGTCGAAAGTAAAGAAAGAAAATTTAAAGTTTTGGAACAAGTTAGATGTCTTTAGGATGAATAAGGAAAAATTTTGGTTTCATATCAAGACATTAAAGATTGGTAAGAGAAATATTTCTATCAACTTTTTAACGAGAGATAAGGAGTAAATGAAATTTTAGTAGAATAAGAAGTGCAAACAAATGGTCTAAGTTTGACATATTACCATAGAATTCAAGTTGAAGCAGTAAAGAAGTTCTTAACAGAATGAAAAATGGTAAAGCAATTAGCCTCAATAATATTCATATTGAAGTTTGAAAAAACAAGAACTGGAGTGATTCACTAAGCTCTTTAAAAAGATTTTGAGATTTAAGAATATGTCATGTGAATGATGGAAAAATATTTGGTTCCTATATAGAAGAATAAGGGTGATATCTAAAATTATGCAAACTATAAAAAGATTAAACTCATGAGTCAAATTATGAAGTTAGAAGAAAAAGTGATTGAACATAGAATACGCGAGAGAATTGAGATTGCAAAAAATCAATTTAGTTTTATGCTAGGGAAGTTTAGAACAAAAACTATATATCTTTCTCAAAAGATTATAGAAAAATATGGCTACAAAGAAAAAGACTTGCACATTATTTTTATTGACCTAGAAAACAAATATGATTGGATATAAAAAAAATGTTATGAAAAACTTTAAAAAATAAAAGCGTATGTGTAACATATATTTGAGTTATACAAGACAGTATGAGAAAGTAACTTTATGTGTGAGAACTTTTTAAAGTCTATACAAGGACTTACCAATTAGCACCATTACTTAATCTAGTCTTAGATGTACTTACAAATGACATATAAAAAATTACATACTTTAGTGTTGGTTAAAGATTCAAAAGAATTTTGACTTAACTTATTGATATATAAGAATTTTGTAATTAATCATTAATTTAAAATTTTAAAAAAGTTATTCTTTAATTTAGTATATTTAATAATATAATATTTATTATTAATAATAAAAATATTTGTTTATTAAAATTATAATTTTTTGAAAATATTGCAATATGCTCTTAATTTATTTTATTTACAAGTAATTTAATTTAATAACACGTACATAAAAATTCAGTCATATATAGGAAAATATTGGTTTGAATTCTGTAACCTTGATATGGATGTGACTTGATAAAACTGAGAGCTAAAGATAAGAAGCTTGAGATAAAATTAAAATAGAGAATATAACAAATATTTTTAGCTAACTGATATATCGAAAAAGCAAATATTTTTCCACTACCTCTCACTACTTGAAAGTTAACAGGAAGGATCAGGTTATGTAAGATGACAAAGCTTATTAACTTAGATTGTTCTTCATGGGGTGTTTCAACATTGTATTGGATCAAATTAATATTGTCTATGCTAAACCAGGAAGGAGTACTTAAGCTTCTTGCAAAAATGCTCATGGAAAACTCTGTTATTCCAAGGGTCTCTTGTTTATTGAAATAATTTAAAGAGTTAAATTTTTAAACCGTTAACTTTTTTGTTCCAAGAGTCCCTTGTATTTGTAAGATGGAAATCATGAGTACTACGATAGTTTTTCGTTTTTTTTTTAATGTGATATTATCTTATTGTAATTTAATTTGTCGTCAACGATTTTGGGATGGCCATATAATTCGTATGAGATTCATTTTGGCTACGGAAAACTATACCATTAGTTTATTATTGATCAAGTTGCATTCCAGTAGAGGGTTTTTTTTATGTTCTCTTGCATCTAAAGGTAATGTGTGGGTATTTGTCTTATCGAAAGTTATTTGCATCCCTCGAATTGTATTCAAGTACAGAAGAATGGTAGCAAATGTACTCTTTGATGTTAGAAACTTTGAAAGAATTTTGACAATGGACAAAAGAAAATTTATAGAAAGGAAAACACACCAAATTTGTCATGACTATGCAAAGGTTCTATTAATAAAGAATTTATAAAATACAAACACTCATATTATGCCAAAATGCTATTACATTCCATTCCTCCCATAATTCTACTGTGGATTTTGGGACTTCTACACAAAATTCTCATTCATAAACCTTACAAAACACTCAAGGAAGTTCACACTTTGCACGTAACCTTCCTTTTATAGCATAATTCTTCAACCCATCATAATTAAGCAAAGAAAAAGTTGTGTCAATTAGTAAGTTCTATGGTCAAACTCTGAGTACTACCAAGTTGAATTTCAACTTGCAATTACACAAAGATTATTATTTAGAAGTTTAATTAACTGAGTCAAAAATTGAATTGGGTAATCAAACTAGACAAAATTAGAGGAGGATTTCAATATTTTACAATTAAGAAAAAAGTCCATGTGAAGCTTTACAGTTTTTTACAAATATGATAAACTATAATTTTAGTCTTAAGAAAAAATTAATATATGTTATCACTTATTAATGATAATTGACATATATTTAGTTATATTAATTAAGAGTGATAAAGTGAATTAGTTTGTAAAAAAGTAAATTGGTCTGTTCAACTTATTTTAAAAGTGAATTAGACATCTTAACTTGATTTGACTCGTTCGAAGATAAATGAGTTGGTGGACTGGTGGATTGACATGATCATATATTTAAAATGAAAATTTATATTTTAGACTCTATTATAGAGTAATTCTTTTTTCCTTAAGTACTTTTGCCAAATTACATTGGGACTCGAAGGAGATGCACTATTCATATAATACTTTTTTTCTCCTAAAAGAATGCAACTCTTTACAAAGCAAGATTGGCAATGAATGTAGATTTATCATAAGGCTAGAGACCAAGAAAAGGTTAGGAACCATTATAACCAAAGTTTTGAGCATATTAACAAGCAATGGAAAATATCCTCATTATCTACTTCCTTTTGCTCAATATCCCACAAATAAGTTGTCAACTTCTTCACTATCATCTTCCTGAACCTGATGACCTGACTACAAAGTGCAAGAAATTTATTGTACCTTTATCCCGTGAAAATTGGCATAAGATTTATGAAGAAGAAAGTCTTAAAATACAACCAAAGTAGAAATGCTTCCAACATTTATTCATTAATACTCCTTGGCTTTTGAACAAAAGAACAAGTTACTAGACACATTTTATTCAAATATATGCTCTCAGAAAGTAGCTCATCTGAAGGTAACCATTGAAAGAATGGTATTATTCTGTTCATGAGAAGTGAGAAGTCTTGAAGACAATTTATTAAACAAGTATAATTCTGTCTGATGAAAACAAATGAAAAATTAAAACTATGCTAAGTCAAGCATGGGAAAATGAATCTTAAGTATGTACCATTGAAACTTCAATAAGTGTATGGTTAGAATAATAAAGAAAAAAAATTTAA